AGAGAGACCTGGGATTGACATGTAAAAAAATTTTCTTTCTAATAAAAACAAAAATAAATAGGAAAAAAGAAATAAACTGGTGTGCCAAACTAAGTAGAGAATTCTCAACAGAAGAATCTAAAATGGCTGAAAGACACTTAAGAGTGCTCAACATCCTTATCCATCAGGGAAATACAACCTAAAACAACTTTGAGATAACATCTTACACTAGGTAGAATGGCGAAAATCAAAATCACCAATGACAATTTATTCTGAAGAGTATGTGGAGACAGAGGAACGCTCCTCTATTATTGGTGGGAGTGCAAATCTGTATGAACACATGAGATCCTACTACTCCCTGCAAGTGACAACTAGGTTTCAATGGGTACTACACACCCCTCAATCCCACAGGTGATCCTAATCTAGATTTAATGAAATGGTCCACAATTAACCATCCATAAAGTTTAAAACGAAAATTATAGCAAATGAGTTTTAGAAGAAATGAGATGCTGTTTAGAGAGGGTGAATGGTTTCAACAATCAGAATGTAATTTACACAAGGTCTGAAATTTCGAAAGTACAAATTACATACGAAATTCAAATTAAGGAATACCTCCCAGATACTCAAACCAATCTTTGAAGAAAAAAAGCAGCTAGGGTGTCTGCATAGAACTGACTTAGGGTCTTTACAGATTTGGGACTGTTGTGTAGATTGTTCTACTTGTGGGAATCCTAGGGGTGGAAACAAGGTCTGCCTGTATTGCTTTGACTGACTTTTGAGAACATATTACTGATCATATGTTGCATTGACCAGGCTTAATAGGAGCAGAGGAGTTTAGTTCTAATTGAACATGATATGCCAAGCTTTGTTGATGCCCATGCTGAGGCATGACCCTTACTGAACAGAAACCGATGTGTGAATTGGGAATGGGTTGGAGGGGTGGTGGGAGGAAGGAATGGGATGAGAAGAGGGAGAGAAAATTGTGATCAGGATATAAAATAAATGAACAAATTTAATTAAAATAATTTAAAAACCTCTCAAAGCTCACACTCAATGATATACTTCTTCCTACAGGTTTGGCCTCATAAATCTTCTGAAACAGTGCCATCAAGAGGGAAACAAGTGTTCAAATTTTAGTGTCTATTTGGAGAATTTCTCATGTATCACCACAAATGATTACTGGAAAGACCAGATACACCATTGTTACCAGGATGTTGTGTCATGGGGTAAGCTGTGGATGTGCCCTGTTATGTGGTGGTCTGTGATAACAGGATGACTTCAATATTACATTCAAAATGGTGATGATCCTTGGATAGAGCCACAGAGTATTTGAAGGTAGAGGGATATTAGGGAACCAAGTGTAGACTACAGAATATATTAAAGTCCAGTAATGTAGTCAAGTTAAATAACATTCTTGATATTATGAGCTTGAGTCCCAACATTATGCTAACAGGACATGACAGTAGGTATTTGTCATCCAAGAACTCAAGAGGGAGATTCAGAATAAGAAGAGCTTCAAGGAAGGACTTTGGGAGCCCATTCCACGTGGAGGGATGCTCTCTCAGCATGGATGCTTGTGGTAGGGCCTACACCCTCCCCAGATTGATATGACAGACATTAGGGATCCTACATGGAGGGCCTTACCCTCCCTGAGGAGCAGAGGGGGTGATGGTTTGGGGGGCTGTTGGGGAGTGGGAGAGGTGCAGAAGGAGAGGGAGAAGGGATTGCCATGTGAAGCAGCCTTGTTTCCAATTTGAACTAATAAAAAGATTGGGATAAAAAAAGAGCTTCAAGGTCTTCCCTGACTATGTAGAGTGTTCAAGGCCAGACTAAGTTATATCTCACCTTGTCCTAAAATGACTCTGAGCCTCCCCAAAAACCTGTATTAAATAGGACACTCACCCTTTCCTTTGAGAAACCATTCAAAATAAGTTCTCAGTGACTCTGTATTCTTGGCAAGATTGGTCTTATTCCAGAAAAAATAACCAGACACAAGAACATCTCTTGGATTTCTGAGGACATATATCATCTTAAATGAAAAGACATAAAAGTCAATATGGACATTTCCCACATTTTAACTAGCACAAGTTATATGAAATGTCAACCAAATGTCCAAAAGTTTCTAAAAACACTTAGTTATACTTGGACAAAATATATGTTAGGTATAAAATGTTTATAGTCAGAATCCCTTTAAACAAATTTATTTGCTTTACAATTAAGGAACAGTAAACAGGTTGAGATCACTAATACCTTAAAAACAAAACGATTATAACAAAAATCCAAGATTGATTCCACAGTTGTAAAGATTAATATATTACAGAGTAAAAGACCATGTATCTGCTGTGAAAGGAAGATGTGCTTACAATGAGCAATGGGTAGTGTGTTAAATTTGTCTGCAATATGGAAAACCAATTGGTTTCTATAAGTGCAACTTTCAAATATGAGTCTCAAAAGAATAATGGTGCAGAACATAAAGCCAGTCTGTCATTGCCAAATGGTGAACACCAACACCTTCAGGCAATGAAGAAATTTAGAGTCAGAGGGATTGACTTCCCCTGTGAAATCATAGCAATGGGTTATACCTTGTTAAATCCTCAGATCTGAAAATAGGCATTCAAGTAACCTTGCATATACTATGCAACTTGTATTTACATATTGAGAAATATGTAGATCGTGTACAGGTAACAGCAATTAATGAAAGAAGAGACCATAAATTTAAAAGAGACCAAGTAGGGGCATGTGGGGGTAACTTGCATGGAGGAAGAGGAAGGATAAATGATATTTGTAATTATAATTTCAAAACTTAAATAAATAAATTGAAAATGACTAA